GCAATGCCAGTATTGGGAGGGCAGTTCCACTCTACCACATGTGCCGTAATTGTGCAGATCCTTTGTAAGGCAAAGAGCACAAGTAAGAGGGAAATTAGCGGGAAACTAATTTTGGGCAGAGGCGCTGCTTCTGTGCACACGTGCAGAGTGCTTCTGTGCATGCATGCAAGGCGAAACCCAGAAGTATACACTTCTGAGTTTGCCGTGTTCACAACCCGAACGTTACGTATCCAGAGCAGTATATAACTAGAAGGTCCACTGTATTTAGATCAAAGTCTTGGGTTCAAATAAAAAGGGGGAAAGATATTTGATATTAAGCGTCCTATGTTTCTCTATAAACCCTAATAAAACTTATTTAAAAGAAAAAGAGAAACAGGAAACTGAAAGAAACTGAAACTGACTTATAATCAACCTTTGAAGCAGGTCCATATTTGCTGGTATGTAGTACGCTGATATGTAGTACGCAGGTGGCATTCTGGGTTAAACCACAGAGCCTAGGACTTGCCGATCAGAAGGTCGGCAGTTTTAATCCCCGTGACGGGGTGAGCTCCCGTTGCTTGGTCCCCGCTCCTGCCAACCTAGCAGTTCGAAAGCACGTCAAAGTGCAAGTAGATAAATAGGTACTCCTCCAACAGGAAGGTAAATGGCATTTCCGTGCGCTGCTCTGGTTCACCAGAAGCAGCTTAGTCATGCTGGCCACATGACCCGGAAGCTGTACGCCGGCTCCCTCGGCCAGTAAAACGAGATGAGTGCCGCAACCCCAGAGTTGGCCACGACGGGACCTAATGGTCAGGGGTCCCTTTACCTTTACCTTTTAATTTTGGGCTGGCCTTAAAGCACACAAATGACAATTGTGAAATTGTAAGTAGGATCCTCTGTAGATGCACCTGCTGCTTAACCTCTGTATTGAAACTCCTGCACTGTTTATGGCGCTCCAACTTTGTCCAACATTGTCCAAATATCTGTTCCACTTGTAGAGGGCTTCCCATCATTGCAGTGACTTGGATCCTCAACTTTTGCATCCTCCTTTGGTTCCTGTAGATATTTTAAAAATGCTCTTTCAGTTTGACTGTGTGTCTCTTCCCCACCCTGGCAGCCACTGTTGTTATAGAATATAGCCAAAGTTTGGGTTTTTCCTACATGGTCAAATCTTTTCTGTAGGAACTTTCCACCCCAAAAGGAGTAATGTAACTCCCCTTCTCAGATCCCATGTTTCAGATCTGCTCTTACTGAGCCAGAGGGAAGACAATGGCATGGTTCCTCATCTAGGATATCGGCGTAACAATAAAGAAAAGAAATCCCTGTTCCTTCCTAATGTATTTATTAAGGGTGCTGGGGGTGGTTAGGACCATCTAGTCAAGTACCATTGATCCTATTGTCACATATAAAAGAGCCTTCACAGTCATTGCATGGTTCTGACACCTATTTCATGTTGTAAATTCTCAGAGCTGGTGCAGTAGGCTTGGTCCAATAAAATTGGAGTTTCTTACTTGGCAGCATCTAGCCCAAGGGGGAAAATGAAGGGTCTCCCCCAAAGCTCACTATAAGTCAATGAACATTGACAGCTTTAGGTTTTGCCTGCTCGGATGAAATGTTATGGGTGGTGACTCTTCCACCTTATAAAAATGGTCATGTGGAAGTCTAATGGCTTGCTTTCATTTGAGGCTTAGACTTGGAACAATGAGCCTGCCACCGTGCCGCAGATGGAAGTAGGAATACCCTGGGGTAACAGGGCATACCTCACAATGCACCAACTCATGGGAGGGAGGACCAAAACTATGTCCATGTGGTAGCTACTCTATCCAGCAAGCTGTTTTCGATCCCATCCTGATCAGCTTATGTAATGTGATTTGTCTTTTGTCTGGTTTCGTTACTCAGTTAATAAATATTTTCAGTTTTGGCTTTTGAAGTTGAATGCTTCTTTAACCTTGACTCACAAATAGTGATGGGAAGCCTTTCAAAAGAAACCAGAAAAATTGGGGAAAAACCCCAGGTTTCCTCCCATTTTCCCCCAAAGGCTTTGGGGAAAAAAGGAAAAAAACCTGGTCGCCCCCCCCCCATTTTTTCTGGGTTTTTTCCAGGTCTTCCCATCTCTACTCCCAAATCTTGATTACTCTTGAATTTGAAGTCAATAATGTTAAGTCTCTGTGCACACAAAAATAGGTACTTCTGAATATTTCTCCCACTCACCCCTAACCAATTTGATTGCATCACTAGTGGAGTAATTGCCAAATTAGGATAATATGGTGGTTGTTTTTTTAAAGCAAAATCAAGCTGAACTTGTTTGGGCATTGTGGTCAAATACTGAACTCCACAAAATGTATACAGTCACCATTATTTATTCAGCACTGACTCTGGGAATCAGCTTGTAACAGCTCACTATAAATAGTAACAGTAGTTATATAACCTGGTGGAAAGATTTCACATCCTTTACACATGGAACAACAGATGTATCAATAAAGATTAGTGCACCAGTCTGCATTTCGTTTCCATGAGTTATAATTATGGAGCTGACTTGATTGAATTAAGAGATGCATCAGGACAGAACGGACTGGGACATTTAACCAGAATTGGTGCAAAACAGAATCACAATGTGGGCATTTCAGCAGCGAGAGCTTTGACCCAGCGAGAAATCATTGCAGTTTTTAAGGATGCAAAGCATACTTCCAAAGGCAGATCTCAAATCAATTGTGACATTATTCACTCTGTTAGTGAAGTATTCTGCACATGCTAGGCTCTTCTTGAAAAAATTGAGAGGTTGGAACGAGCTCCTGCCTTCTCCCAAACCAAGAGCGGCCAATGCAATGTCTGCATACATGCTGCCCTTGAGCTCCAAGGGAATTCTAGTAGCAGAGTGTATCTCACAGGGTCAGCCTTTGGCTTCCTGAAATTAGTAGCTAAGCTGAAGGACCCATTGCTTGCTTCTTATCAGCCTGGATTCTAAAGTGTGTGTGTGTGTGTGTGTGTGTGTGTGTGTGTGTGTGTGTGTGTCTTTCATGATACATTTCACCACTTTTATTTTTCTACATTATCTGCTCTCTTCATTTGAAAATAGGCACGGTCTGTATTGCTCCTATGTTTTGTAACTTTGATTATGGGGTTTCTGTTTTTATTGCTCATTTTTATTTATGATTTTGTGTTAATGAAGAATAATAATTAAAAAATCTGAGGGAAGCTTCCACCTTACAACTTAGAGCACTGGAGACTTGAATATGGAGGGTGTGCATCCTCTCAGTTCAGTGAACATGTCTGGGAATTGAGCAGCAAAATGGCGTCCGGGCTGATTTTTGCTGAATTGGCAAAATGTCTGGGGAAAGCCCAGACAAGTAGGACTATTATTATTATTTTTTTGCTGAGGCAAGGGGAGAGATGTTCCCCAACAAAAGCTCAACAACTTGGTCCAGATTTTCACTTTTGGGAATATGGCAACCCTAGCTAACAGCACACATTAATATTATGAGTGGCACTGCCCCCCTCTCATTGTTTACAGGATTGTGCCTGGAGAATTGACATTTATAAACTTTGCCACAGGCATTTAGACAACTATTTATGGTGTTTAGTTATCTCTACAATTACTGTGGGCCTGTGGGAGGAATTGGAGCAAATGGGATTTTGAGGGATTTATGCACCTGTGAACAGGCCTGTCAGAGACCTAAGGCCCTTTGCCTCAGGTTCATCTGCCATATTGGTGCTGGGTGTGTACGCCATCATTATCTTTTTTTTTTTTTTGAGAGGGGACTTCTTATTTTTTTCTGTGTTGTTCCTGGTAAGAAGGGAGACATGCAGGCAGGATCAGCTTCAGAACATGATGGGATGTTACTTCATGTTTTTGGGCACCATTGTGTGTGTTGGGAGTTGTGAGGGGAAAGTTGTTCCGAAACAGGTTCAACAGAAAACTGAGTCCCTGTGAATCCTTTTGCTAATCCTGCTTACATCATTTCAGCAAAAAATGGAAGGGGAAAGCTCAACAGAAAGGGACAGAAGTAGGGTTAGGGCTGCTTCACAGTGTACACTAATGAAACCAGGAGGCTTGAGAAGTGCTTAACTTACAAGATCATGCTGATTATGCCTAAAAATATCCAGATGTGCTTAGGGAAAAAAATCTCTCACAGGAACTTGGCTGCCTGGACAGAAATGTGATTCTTCTAGCACATGAAAATGATCTGGATACAAGTGCCCTACCACCTGAGAATTATGGAGACCCAAATTATCAATTTCTTCCCAGTAGCAAATAATAATAATAATTTCTTCACTATCCCTAATATTCCTGTCAAAAGGAATTATGAAAATCATGGGCCCTAAATCAGCCTGCTGAGAAGCAAAAAAGGGGGAATGAGAAGGCTGCCAAAATGCTGTATTATGGGCTCCATATCAGAGCTCTGTTAGCCTGCTTGATCATCTGCCCTGGCTAAAATGGTCTTGATCTCTGTTAGAATAATAATAATAATAATAATAATAATAATAATAATAATAATAATAATAAAGCGAAGGGTCAATCTTTCTACAGACCACCTGAATGGACCTCATGGCCCATTGGTATGTGAATCTAGGCTAACTGAAAGCATTTCTGTTTGTGAAAGGTGGTCAGCCGATTTTTTATTTTTTGCTAACCCTACCCAGTGCAGTCCCTAAAAAGCTGCTCCTGAGTATGGAGACTCCAGGACAGTTTGGGACACAGTGCTGAAGGATGCAGTGTGGGCAGCGGGATCTGGATTTTTGTGTGTGGGAACCCAGATGCATTGCCTGATGCTAGCAGAAGTGTTTTCTGCCACTCCACAGAAGCCACCAACTGGATGATGCAAGCTTGCACCCCTTCCTCACCCCTAGTTGAAGTGTCACTATCTGAACAGTCTAACTGAGGTGCATCTTACTGGAAGCTCTTCCCCCTGCATGTAGAAAAAAGAAGAAGAAGAAGATAAACACCTCCGTTTTTCAGGGAGGCTTATGACTTAACAAGGCTACTTGAGGCGTCAGTTGCGAAGTGAGTGTGCACTGGCTTACGGAGCTCATGTTTCTTGTTCTGGCTGAGGTTCCAAGAACTTGAGCAGGCTAAATTCGCAAGCAAACATGATCACAGGGAAATTACTTTCTCTGGATCTTTGTTGTCAACAACGCATTACTTAAAGGCAGCATTTTTTAATTCCAACAGAAGCTTTAACAGCCCCTGGGCAGAATATTTCTCTGGTAATGGAAGAAAGAGACCATCTCAAGATGCCGTCTGAAGACACTGAGTCACCTTGGTCTTGGGTAAGGTCTTTAATGTAGAGTTTCAGGAATAACATGCTGAAGTGGGAGAAAGTTCGATTCCCCTCAGCCAGTTTTTTTTTTAAAAAAATCTGATTGTTTACTTGGTTGTCTTCTCCCCCCCCCCCCCCGAGTAAAGATAGGCTAATATAGTCGGGTATAGTTGTTTTGTTTTTTAAGGTTTCCTCTTGGTTTTGTTTGTGATGCCATTCTTCGGGGCAAGCCCAGCTGTTGAAATGGCCCTTCCCCAAATTTTATGTGGGGTAGATTGTAGTAGGGCATCGCTGTAAGAGACATGCTGCATTGATTAGGCTTTAGACCGAATCACAAATTTAAAGGTTAGCAAGGCCTTTCCTCGTGATATTTGCACTCTTAATTTGGGAAGTTAACATTGCAGCTCTCTTTGCTCATAGAAGATGTGTACCATTCACACAGAAGAACTCTTCGGAGAGTGGTTGGTTGTGCATTGAAAGTTTTTTAACGTTTGATGTTTTACTGTGGTTTTATAATTTGTTGGAAGCCACCCAGAGTGGCTGGGGCAACCCAACCTGATGGGCGGCATATAAATGATGATGATGAAGAAGAAAGGACTGCTCCTAGGTAATCATATGTGTTGACGTTCTCCATCTCAGAGAAGTGTGATCCTCTCTATCTATGTTCCATTTATAAAACAGTCAAAGGAATGTATACAGTCCTGCAGCCAGCCTTCTTTCTTAGGTGGGAGAGCCACATTTCATTTCGGAGAGGGAGGCGCATAGCACCAAACCAGACTCCCTGCCACTCACAGGTGGAGAGGATATAAAGGTCAGGTCAGGGGAAGGAGAAGGGGAAGGCAGCAACGTCCCTGCTCATTCCTCCTCTGCGCAGACAGCGTGTTAGCTTAATAACGGGCTACTTAAGGGTCAAGTTAACAGAAAAATTAGTGTTTAGGATTTGGGAATGAATTAAGTTCAATCTGTTGAATTGTCTCACCTTTTTTGAGAGATCCCCAGAAATACCAGACTCAGAAGTTTGACTTTGCCCAGAGCTATAGTCCTCTTTTACCTGTGGTTGGACTCCTTGTGTTCTTATTCTTTAGGAACTTAACTACTTTGGTAATGAGCTCCTGAGCTCAGCTCTGATACTGAATTACGTATCGCAGTTTTACACCCCTTAAAAAACAAAACAAAACACCACCTGTCCAAACTTGTCTAAGTTTAGGGAAAGAAGGAGATTTTAAAATGACATTTTTAAAATATTGTTTGGATTTATAGTGCACCTAGGGAAGAACTGCTTGATTTGTGATGGTATTTAAACAAATAATCTTTTCCCTGTTAGAGATACATAAATAGAATGATCTACACATCAGAAACTTGAATAGCAGGTTGTGTATGACCACTCTTTGACTGTTCTGTCATATTTAGCAACACACCAACAATTCGAGTGGATTTTCACCCATATGACAAAGTGACATGCCCAGCTTTTTAAGCACAGCTGTGACGTCCAATTGTACAGATGCTTATGGCGAAACTGAAAAGAATAGCAGCGGAGTCAGAAGCTTGTGCGTTTGGCTTACTAATCTCACTTCTATGGGGCTTTTCTTTGGAATGACCGATGCACAATAACATAGCTCAGTTTAAACACCTGTGCCTCTCACTTGGTTTCTTCATTTCCATTCTGGCTCAGGAAAACAGCAAAGGCATCTGGGTTGGTCATATAATATCAAGGTTCAGTTAAAGGGCACTGTGGACTTGGACTGATTCATGTTCTAGGTTTAACATGTCTTTAGACCCTAAAACACGCACTCTCTCTCTCTCTCCTCCCCCCTAACAGAATTCACACACAGAGACCCGGTCCTCTGTCCCTCTGTACCAGCCTTTGCCAGCCCTGCACCCTTCAGCTGTTGTTGGATTATTCCCCCCCCCCCCGACTGTTGGTTGTGCTGGCTGGGGCAAATGGGAGTTGGAGTCTGAACAACATCTGGAGGGCACCAGCCTGGGGAAGGCTGCTCTGCATAACACAGAAATACTGAATCCCGATTAGAGATGACCCATTTTAGTGAATGTAGTGGCAGTGGGGTGAAGGGTGTGTGTGAGATAAAATCCAACTGACATTTCCACTATTTCTAAAAATATAACAACAACAGAACACAAGCTTTTAAACCAAGGCCCCATCTAGACTTTGCATTTAAGCACTATTGTACCACTTTAAACAGGGATGCGGGTGGCGCTGTGGGTTAAACCACAGAGCCTAGGACTTGCCGATCAGAAGGTCGGCGGTTCGAATCCCTGTGATGGGGTGAGCTCCCATTGCTCGGTCCCTGCACCTGCCAACCTAGCAGTTCGAAAGCACGTCAAAGTGCAAGTAGATAAATAGGTACTGCTCTGGCAGGAAGGTAAACAGCGTTTCCATGCACTGCTCTGGTTTGCTAGAAGTGACTTAGTCATGCTGGCCACATGACCCGGAAGCTGTACGCCGCCTCCCTCGGCCAATAAAGCGAGATGAGCGCCGCAACCCCAGAGACCGTCACGACTGGACCCAATGGTCAGGGGTCCCTTTACCACTTTAAACATTCATGGCTTCCCCCCAAAGTATCTGGGGCCCACAGTTTGTTAAGGGTGCTGAGCATTGTTAGGCGACCCCTGCTCCCCTCACAGTTCCCAGGGTGGTTTCATGAGGGGAACAAGGGTCTCCTAACAATGCTCAGCACCCTTAACAGTTGCCAGGATTCTTTGTGGGAAGCTATGGCTGTTACGGAAGTCGTAGGATACTGCTTTAGATGTAACAGAGCAGTTGGGAACCAAGTCAGACCACTGGTCTATCTAGTTCAGCATTGCCCATACTGACTCCAGGGTTTGGGGCTGAGGCCATTCCCTGCTCTACCTTGAGATGCATAGAAATGAACCTGGGACTTTCAGACTGCAGAGCAGATGCTCTATGATTGAGCTTTGGTGCTTCCACCAAACAAGCACTTGCTGCCCTTTAATTGTAGCCTGTGACCAGTGATGAACGTTGTGGACTGAAATTTCAGTGGCATCCTGCGCGACACCAAAATTCGGCGCCCTGCTGCCTCTCCTGCTCCATTCTAAATAATAGTTGTGGCATCCTCTGAGGTGCCCCTGAGGCTTTGCCCCCAGTGTGGCTGAACCATTGGTGCTCCCCTAACTCTGTCTCCGCCACGGAACAGACATTGGAGCTACAGGAGGGTTGACATACACCCGGAATTTCCCTGACATAACAGGGATTAGGCTGTCGGAAACAGTGTCCAGGTGGAAATCGCTGGATGTCCGGGAAAATCTGGACGTATGGCAATCCATGTTAGAAGTGTAGATTTTGGCAAATTTCCTTAAAAGTAGCTCAAAAACTTCATTTTTATTTTTTTTGGAGATTTTGCCAAAAATGCGAACAAAAAACAACCCAACAATTTTTTTGTGTCTGGATTTTCAGTTCTTGAAATATGGCAACCCTAAACTATGGCAAAGAGTTCTTCATTCCAAAAGATCACCTTTGCATCTCTTGGGAATAGGACAGCTGAGAGCGGAAAGGTTATTTATAATAGATCCGTTGTGCTGATCCAACCCACACAGTAGGAAGTATGGGCTTCTGTTCACTGTTTGTTGTAAATGTCTGCCCCCACACTTAGGAGTAGTGATCACTGTGACACCTGTCGGCCTCAGCCTTATTTCAGTGTGGATTTTTGCATGGATGACACATTCTCAAATCATCGTCATTGTAAGATTTGATTTTCCATGGCTTAGCTCTCTAGACCATGCTTCCTCCAACAGAAGTTGGGGTGGGGGTGCTGGACAGGTGATATTTATGGATTCCTTTTCCCCCTTCTGAAAATCTGCTCTGGAGAATAGAGGAAACCTCCAAAACAGGGCAGGGAGGGGGCTACAGTGTTAGGGAGATCCAGTGAAAATAACCTCTTCCCCGTTTTGACAGTTGTATCGCTCCACTTGATCAAAAGCCTTCTGTGGTCCGAAGGAGCTCTTCTGCTCACAGCTAAGTTTGGATCTAATCCCACATTTTTGAAAAATGATTGCATAAAAGAAAACAACAACATTTGCAGTTTACGGATAAGGGTAAAAAGTGCTTCTATAAGACACAATTCGGGAAGTTGGCACTGAAGAGTACAGTAAACCAACCCAGCTAAAATCTCATGTTCTGTCTTCTGGAAGAGATATGTTCTTCGTCTGTTAACATGATGACATGCTTTGGAAATTTAACTTGTTCCTCCAGGAACCAAGCAATTGCTCGAGAGTCCTCAGCATAGGTCCCATCAGTTGACTCCATAACAGGTGATGCGGTATTGAGGTCCTGTTGCTTCAACTGTGACGAACGTAACTGTTCTGATGGATCAGTAAATCCTCTACTAGGAATTTGTGGTAGCAGGTTCTCTTATTTACCCACAGCATTGTAAATCGGGGGGGGGGGACATATTTAAAGGCAGAGCAGTCATTGTATAAAAGTGGAAGAGAAAACCCATTTCTCTGAACTGAAAATACCACACACACACACGTTCTAGATCTGGTATACGGCAGATTGGGAATCCACTGGTAGATCTCTGAATGATTTGCATTTGATCAGTGAGAATTTTCCAAATTGTTCAACAATAGCCATTCAGTGAATGGACCTGACTATCAGATTTCTTCAGGAATAATTATATGTGGCCTGAAACACAGACCGCTCTCCTCTGCACATGGCTCTCCCTAAAGCATGCTGGTTATGATAGAATTCCCTCCACTCCCAGATTTGCTTTGCTACCTACGGCAACTGTAGGGGAAAAAAATGTGAGAAGTTGAATATGATCCTAAGAATATAAATACCAAATGGAAGAAGAGGAAAAGTGGGAGGGCATACAGCTGTCCTTCCCGACTTATTTTTTCTGTCATGATTTATCACTACCTACAGAGAACTTGTATTTTTAGAGACTGACATTAGGTGAGCTAAAGGCTTTGAGATTGCTAGAGGTTAGGTTTAGGAAGCCACTTCCCACATACCTTGCTTGTTGATGCATTGTC